GTGTTTTATTCAGAGTAAGATTTTATCCTGGCCATCCTATCTTGGGATCATAAAACGACCCAACGTTGTAACATTATCCGTGACTGCACACACTTTGTGTCACATGTAATCTGCAGGAATGTCAAGTCTGAGACAAGAAGTCTGACGGTTTCCATGTACAGGCCGTCAAACATGTTCTGTGCAGGTTTACACACTGAGCGTCACACGCAGACTCAACATTTATAAAGGATTATACATCAAGACAAACACAATACCACAAACTGTCAGGTACTGCTCAGCCTTCTTAGATTGATGTCCCGCTTACATTTGTATTACTACACCTATATTTTGTATGAGTTCCTACATGTATAAAGCTGGCTCAGTGACAGGGCAGTCATCTGTATATATAATCCAGATGTATCTGAAATGTCTTGTCAATGCACAGTAACTGTTCCTTGTCATCAAATTCAATGTCAAACCACATTAATAAAGTTTTGTTTGTTTTTCAGGCAAGGACCGGCATTTGTATCCTGCTGCATTAAAAGCATTTCTCACCATCTGTCCTTTTGTTCTTGTTCTTGTAGTGGTGGCACAGAGGTTAGAGAAGGTGGGCCTGTAACTGGGAGGTCACCCTTTTGACTCCCCAGACTGACGAGGTCAAAAAATGTGGGTGGGAAAGGTGAAGCACCCGCACCTGCCTTCACCTTCATTTGCCCCACTCTGGGCCCTTGAGCAAGGCCCTTAAACCCCACCATCTGCTCCCCCGGGCGCCCTATAGCAGCCCTCTGCTCCACACAGTGGGCTGTGGTAGCTCGGTGGTCTGTGGTTGCATCAGGAAGGACATGAGGAAGACTGAGGAAGTCTTTCGGATGAAAGACGAAATGTTTCTACAATTTTTTTGTTTTGTTTTTTGGAATGTCCAGAGGACCAGATTTAACTTTTTTAGACAGTGAGTGATTAGTGCTACGTTTGTGCTGGTTTGTGTCGTTAAAATGTTTGTGCTGCTTTGGTTTCTGAGACACAGATGAAGGTGGATGAAGATGCGTCATCCCCACAGGACATGCGGTCAGCATCTCTGCTGGGCAGGAGCGTGTGCGCGAGCTGCAGCAGTAACATCTACTCCACAGACATGGACAACATCTCCTCTCGTTGTATTGTTAATAAATCAAAATAAAAATGTGCAATGACTTTGCGCTTTTATGGGCAGGGATTTGAGTTGCCGGCTCCGACCGAACAGTTGCCGGAATGCACACGGTGAAAATGAGGGAGTTTCCGGATCTTGTTCCAGTAGGATCCTATTCAAATTAACCACTGGTTCAAGCTCTTGTGTTATCTGAACAAGCCATTCTTGCTTTGCTGTCATAAAGAGCGTTTCAAAAACATCTTCATGTACTTCTTTTTTTGTCAGCAAAAAGCAAAACAAAAAAAAATTCTGTCTTTTTCCAGATGACACTGCTGATAGCCTGAAACTAATATACATTTGTCTTATTTCAGACAAAAGACTCGACATATTGTCTGGTTTGGGACATATACATGCACTTAAGTCAATACAAGCGTCCTCAGAGAACAATATCTTAGGTGGTCTTTTTCCAATCAGTCTGCTCAGAGTGAAAACAATCTCAGTATTTAAAACCACATGAGTACAGCTGAAGGTGGAGAATCCAAGTTAAACACCACACAGCACTGGGAGTGACAGCACTGTCACCTCTAAGTATTGGTAGCTGCTCTGGAGGTTTGCTGTCAGGAACAGATCTGCACCAGAGATTAATTTAATTGAAAGAAAACAAATACCAGAGAGAAGAGTATGCAAGTGTGTGTGTGAGAGGCAGTGGAAGTATTTAATAAGTGTGTGAAGGGAAAACGTGCAAGTATATTACCAACAATAATCAATCATTTCATTAGACAGCACGAGTTTGATTTCATTTACAGATATTCACAGCTCTCCCTCACATGTTCCTGTTCCACACTTTACAAACCAGAGGAACACACAAGCCTGCCTTTTGATTTTCCAGCACATTCTTGTTGTAGTGGGAAAATAGATTATCCTAAACTTCGTTGGCAAAATCATCCAGAGGGAATACTGAAACCAAAACAGCAGTCTCAAGAACAAAATGGTCGTTTTTGCTTGGATTAGATTTTAGTTTCATGTCATTGAGTGTTGCGAGCGTGGAGACTTCACAAGCAGTGGAGATCAAGTGATGCGCCTTCAGTTAGAATGTTATGACAGCCCATTTAATGCCAACGTCAAAGATCTTTAGAGTCGACATCAGATCACATTCATTCAACCTTTATTGATACCAGTTAGTCAAACTGGGTCATGAGGACTCGTTTACAAGAGAGACGTGTACATAATTTTAGTTTCAGAAAATCCTGTTAAATTAAAGGTTAATGCTTAAAGCTAGTTGTGCTTTGTTTTGTGTGTCATGTATGTAGATATACATTTCATTCATTCAACCTTTATTTATACAGGTTAATCCCATTGAGCTTCGGGGACTCATTTACAAGAGAGACCTGACTTTAACAAAGAGCGATGACAGTGGACAACAAAGACAACAGTAGACAATCATAAAGGATGCATACAAATTTAGATATTTTTTTCTTTTTAACAAGTGGAAATAAAATGGTATTTAAAATAAAATGTAACTTAAAAACAGCTAGATTGTAAGGCGGTGTAGAAAACTAAAAACAGGAACAGGTCTGCATTGGTTTTTCCCAAGAATTTAACACATGTTTGAAGCCACTTGGAGAACTTAGCCATTTCTGGATGCATAAGTTTAGTCTTGTTTCCTATAATCAGTTAAAACTAAACTGATTTTGCACAAAGTGTTTATTAGGCTTTGTAATGTCACATTTACACGCCAACATACTGAATTTTGCTGTAAATTATTCCACTGTGTTGCTCTGCGTCATGAACACACTACTGCAGTATCTATTTGAAGTTATTAGGATGCACAGCTGCAGAAAGAAAAGCTTTGCAGAGAGTGGTGAAGGCTGCACAGAAGTCTGTTGGAATCAGCCTCCCCACCATCACAGACATTTATACCTCCAGATGCAGGAAGAGAGCCACCTGCATCATGAAGGACCACACTCACCCAGCACACACACTTTTTGCCCCACTCCCCTCAGGAAGGCAGTTGAGGAGCATTAAGTGTAGAACCACTAGACTGAGGAACAGCTTCTACCCTGAGGCTGTTAGACTCATGAACATCTAACCAGGAAAATCACTGTGGAAATCACATCATGTTGCTGCTGATCTGTTTCATGTTGATGTGTTCATGCGTGCTCATCTACTCACACAGACTCATGCTCATGTTCGTGCTGCTACTCGACGTAATGTTTTTATGCTATTAGTGCTTAGTGTATTTTAGTTGATGTTTTTCTTAGTTCATATCTTGGATGTTATTATTGTTTTTCTTTTACATTTTTATTGTTGGATGTAACTGGGAATCCGTGTACATAATTTCGCTCCACATGTGGTGCGAATGACAAAGAATCTCAGACTCTGACTGACTGACTCTGACTGACTCTGACTGACTCTGACTTATTAGTATTTATTTTAAGATATGCGTGAGCACCTATTTATCCCGTCGTTACAGACATTTTGTTTGTTTGTCAGAGGTTAGTTCACCCTGGGTTACATTTTCACATGGGAAGAGCGATATTACCATGAGCGTCATGTCAGTTAGATGTTTATGGAGTTTTTCCACACCACGAACAAAAAAAAGTTTGTTTTTATGGGTTAAAGTGAGATCATGTTCCTTATTTTCAGTTTCTCAACTCTTCAGTGCACTTTGTATGGTTCACATTTATCATGATTCCCTCTAAATTTAGCTTAATCGTTATACAGTAAAATGTTGCCATTACTGCAAAGAATAAAAGCTGAAAGAAACCTTTGAGAATAAATTTTCCTCAGGTGGTTGTTAAATGATGCATTTGAGAAGGATCTGGTTTTGTCACACAGTCAGCAAATGCCTGAGCAAAACCAGTAAAACAACAAAAATATAAACTTTGTGGTAGCAGACTAGGCTGAAGCAAAGTGGGAAAACAAGGACACAAGTTTTACTTTGTCTCTCCCCCCCCCCCCCCCCCAATAGCTGAGAGTTGTGTATAGGATTTTTTTTTTAAATTGCAGAAGAGGAGAGTTGGTCAAATACAACAATAGACAAGGATCTAACAAAAAAGGGACTGTGAGCTGCATTGAATCCTGATATAAAGTTTCATTTTGTGAGGAACAAAGGACAAAGACTCTACTTCCTAAGAAGACTAAACAAGTATGGTACAAACACCAGCATCCTCACCAACTTTATAGGTGCACCACTGAGAGCCTGGTGACAGGTTGCATCACAGAGTGGTACATGAACTGCACCAGTCAGAGCTGGAAAGAACTACAGAGGGTGGTGCAAACAGCAAAGGGCATCACTAGCAGTCTCCACACCATCCAGGACATCTACCACAGCCGATGTCTGCGTAAAGCATGCAGCATCATTAAGGACCACACCCACCCAGCATAAGGACTCTTGCGTCCACTACCCTCAGGCAGACGATACAGGAGTCTGTCATCAGGCACGAAAAAACTCAAAGACAGTTATTATTCACCAACTGTCAGATTACTGAACTCTCGATAAATAACACTGAACAACTGGCAACAACTTTGCACCAAGCCACATCTGTGACGACTAATATGACTAATATTAGCTTGTGACAGCTAATATGTTTATTGCTGCTGCATCCTGCTTGCACCGTTGTTTACCATCTCTCTTTAGGACCTTGTAAATATAATAAATACTTTCTCACTTTTTGGTACTTTATTTTTGTACCCTTACTGCATGCTTTTAGTATTTCTTGTTGGTTTGTTCTTTGATTTTCTTTTTTTAGCGAGTCAAATTGGTTTTTGTCATCCTAAGCATTTCATTGTACTGTTAACCTCGTGTTAGCCTTGCATATGACACAAACATAACTTGAACTTGAACTTGGAATGCACGACAGTTCAAAAGTGAGTTGGAGTTGTAATTGTGACTTACCTCGGTCTTCTAAATATGAGGCCATATTGCTGGCAGGCCAGGCCCACAGTGGGAGTGTAAATGATTGGCATAAATCTCTCAACATCAGATGTAATGAACCGATAGAAGAGCTTCTCGTTACGGTCCTGAAGCCCCATCAGAAACACATATCTGAAAGTATTAAAAAATAAAACATGTTAACCTTTCATACCATGAGGATCTGGAAGGAGACAAGGCACCAGCTCCCCATGACCCTGACAGGCACAAGATGAGCTACAGAGTAGTTAATAGAATTCAGATGTAACATTTTGTTTGCTTAAAAAGATTAGACATCAAGAAGACTGAAAGATTATAAGTATGAGATAAACCCCAATGAGTGCATTAGACTGTCACACAGCAAACTCTTGATGGAGTAAAATCCATGAAGTCCTAAAACTCTGGTTTCAGAAGAACAAATAAAGGCATTTTTGATTTAGTTCCAAATGACTGAAAGAAGTTGGATCACAGGCAGCTGACAAAAGCTCTTTGTTATGAAGATTGAGCAGGAACTTGTATTTGACCCATTGTAAGCAGAGTATGCCAGAAAGAGCTCTATTCACAATCAAAGTTTCCATAAAGCCACAAGCACAAGGTGCCGCTTGTTGAAAAGATAAAAACATGCACCGTTTCTCTGCTGCAGGTTAGGCCACAGCAACTACACAATACTGGGTGGTGGCAGCTGCTTTTGAGAATTATTTTCTTAATCTCAGTCCAAATGAGCTTTTCCCACATTCATTACATCACAGATAAGGTTCTGTGATAATAAGTTGAAGGAAATGTGGCCTTAAAATAATTTGTAAAACCAGTTTATGCAGCTCCTCCTACCACTAATCTATGTAAGACCAGCTACAGACCTGTCAGCTAAATGACAAAGTGTTTAAACAGGGCAAAACTGAACAGCTAACCTTGAACCTCATCACTCATTCCATGTTGCGTGCTGAAAAACATGGTCACAGCAGAACAATATTTCCTGCCTGCTTTTGTTTTTGGTATAGTCCTTTTCTGCACCAGAGACAACTGCATGTATGCGTTATGTTCATGACCTCATGTTCGGGCTGCTATTGATATACTGTATTATTTTACATTATTAGTGTTTAGCGTTTATCTTAGATCTTTTAGCATATCATTTAGTGTTCGTTTAGCATATGTAAAGCTTAGATCCTTATATACTGTTTCTTTTTATACTTCATATTTTTGCTATTGTTGGATGTAACTGGGACCCTGGGTACACAATTTTGTTCCGCCTCATGTACCACATGTGATGTGAACGACAATAAACTTAACTTGAACTTGAACGTATTCAACTGTGAACCAATTCCACATTCTTCAGAAAGAGAAGGAATCAAATAAAACCCCAAAGCTTTTAATCTAGCAGCATTTCAGATTACATCTCATGAAGACATGGTCTGGTCTTGTCTGATGACCCAGTGCTCTCTGATTGTACAAAACAGATTCACTAGTACATCAGCTCATTTCTATCAAGCTAATTTTAAAGTTTGCTTCTTCTGGGTCACAATCTCATTGGATGGGAATTTTCCCTTCAGCTGCACCACTTTATAAACCCCAGTACGAGTTGGCAAAGTCTGTGGAAATCCACTTTCTCTGGTATTAGAAGGGTCGCTCAAGCCACTGCATGAACTAAGATGTGCTTGCTGTGGGGGTTTCTTTAACACTGTCACAAAAACATTCCAAACTAACTTAAACAAATAAAAATTTAAAAATGGCTGTTTATAATAGAACGAGAAGGAATACGTTAAAGTCAGTGTTTAGCAGTCATCGTTACCAAACAAGGATTAAGTAGAGGGCGGTACGGTGGTGCATTTGGTATAAATGTCGCCTCGCATTGAAAAGGTTGCTGGAGTGAATCCTGGCCGAGGCTTTTCTGGGTGGAGTTTGCATGTTCTCTCCATGCATGCATGGGTTTCCTCCCACAGACCAAAAACATGCATGTTAGTCTGATTGGTAACTCTAAATTGTCTCTAGGTGTGAGTGAGAGAGTGAATGGTTGTTTGTTTCTCTGTGTGCCTGTGATGGACTTGGAAAGGAAGCGGGTAAAGATGATGGATGGATGGATGGATGGATGGATGGATGGATGAAGTCGTAAACAAAAGGCTTGAGTCAAAAATCCCAAAGTTTGAACACACTTGAGCTCCAGAGACAAGATTGTGAGTTATATGCTGAAAAAAACATGGGTTTGTGATTTTGTGTCACTGTTATTCTTGGAAATGAGACAATTGAAATGCAGTTTAGTTAGTTTTTTTTTTTAAGTTTTTTTACTCTGAATCCAACACTGCGTCTGTGAGTTTTCACTCATCTTTCACATTCGGACTGAGAGCCCATGAATCAAGTAACTGGGGGATGAAAGCTGGGTAAAGGCTGATGACAGCTGATCAAGGAGGCCAAACTGGAAGGGTAGCATATCCTGCGTTTGTTGTGCAACGGTTGTGGCTCTAAGTGATGAAGCATGTGATTTAAATGAAGTGAAGTTTTTATATGGTCACTGTGGACGTTGGAAAAACAAATGTATAGGGAGTAAATGGGAAAGATGTTAAAAAAGGAACAGTCGGCAGATTTATGCAGTAAATTCCACAGTGTGAGGAGACAGATGATCTCAGAGGGCTGATAGCTTATCTGTCTCCGTTTTAATACGTTTCAAGTGAAGGATCTCTTTGCACACACGGATCCGTAAAAATTTAACTCCTGTGACGGGTAAGATATTAAGTCGTAACCCCACTATAAATTCCTGTTTGGTTTGTATGCATCGCTCACCTGTCCAGGTCATCTCTTGTCATGTCGTAGTTTTTGAGCACTCGGAGCAGCTGGACATCCTGGCTGTTGAAGCAGGGAGGCAGCAGGCCGTGGATTCCCAGCTGGAGGCGTTCGTCTAGGGAAAAGGCTAACCCCTGCAAGCAGACACATGGAGCACCATCAATCTTTGTCCTCCACCATCATGATAAATAAAAAGAACGTATAGAGCAGGAATGGGTCCATTTCCATTTTCAAGGGATGAAGTTTTTAAAGCCAGAGTTCATAAACAACAAATATTTTTTCATACAATTCCTACAGATTTAACTTTTTATATTTTGAGATGAAGGTCACGCAAGAGGCGTCCAAATCAGATGTCTGGACCACCTGACCTGACTCCTTTCAAAGCAGAGGGGCAGTGGCTCTACTCTGAGTTCACCCCAGATGACGGAGCTCTTCACCCTACCTCCAAGACTGAGCCCCGCCACCCTTTAAAGGAAGCTCATTTCAAACACTTGCACCAAAATGAAACAAACAAACAAAAACTATTTTTGAGAACTAAACATGGCGGCAGCATCCCGGTTGGTTTACACTGAAGGAGATGTTCCAAATTTGCTGTGATCCAGTCATGTTCTGATGGATTGTGTAAGTTGTAGCACAGTTGTCATCCAGTGTGAAGAGGGTCTTTGGTTTACAGTCAGTTCTCTGCAGCTCCTGGCTTGGTATTTACTCTGACATGCATCATCTGTGACACCTTAGATGCACTGAGCCGTGCTCTTCCACACTATGACCAATATGCCAACAGACACAAGTGGGTACCAAATTCTTATAGAAGCATTTCAAGAGCAGCACACATGAAAGAAGTACCGTATTTTACGACATACAAGTCACAGTTTTTTTGCATAATTTACATGCCCTGCGACTTATAGGCCGAAGCGACATATTTATGGATTTTTCCACTTTATTAGACAAATGTGGACTGATGCGACTTATAGGGCGGTGCGACGTGTCCGCCGGAAAATACGGTATGGGGGTGGGAGGTGTGATCTCTTCAGCCTACGGAAGTGCAGACGCTACTGGGCTTTCTACACCAGGGACCCAGTGTTTCTTGACCAAGAGAGCAGCTTGGTTATGTGCACCCCCAGGAACCTGGTGCTCTCCACCACCTCCACCTCTGTGCTGTTTATGAACAGCGGCCATAAGGCTGACACATTGTTCAGTTTTAAGACTGGTTGGCTTGTTATGCTGCTATAAGCTCAGACTCCTGGAGGACAAATTGACCTCATTTCCTTAAATGATTTACTAAAATTGAATAGTTTTCATTTGATACCACTTCTATCAATATGTGATTCTTGACCTGCCATTGTGTATCTGTTCCTCTCAAACCCATCCGGTCGAAGCAGATGGCCGCTTGTCCTGAGCCTGGTTCTGCTAAAGGTTTCTTCCTCATGATGGAGTTTTTCCTTTCCACCGTCGCCTTCATGCTCAAGATGAGAATTCTGTGATGGAGTTAAACTCGAAGCAGTCTGCTCCTCAGATAAATACTGTTAAATTATTATTTTTATATATGAATGTTTCTGTTGACTTATTTAATATATAAATATTTCTGTTCAGTGCCCTGAGAAGACTTCTGTTGTGACTTGGCGCTAAATAAATAAACTGAATTGAATTGAATTGAATTGAATTGGTGTGTGATGTCCCGCTTCTTCATTTTCAGGTCACTGGTTCCCATGTCCAGCAGTCACTGTGTGAGAGGCAGGGGACACCCAGGACAGGTCTCCAGTCCATCATAGGGACACGGAGACAAACAACCATTCAATCTCTCACTCACACTTAGGGACAATTTAGAGTTACCAATCAGCCTAACATGCATGTTTTTGGTCTGTGGGAGGAAACTGGAGTACTCAGAGAAAACCCAAGCATGCACGGAGAGAACATGCAAACCCCACCCAGAATGGCCCCCGGCTGAGATTTGATCCAGTGGCTTTCTCGCTGAGAGGCAGCCGTTCTACCAACTGCTCCACCGTTCCACTCATATCACTGTATATTTCTGACTAAAAAGATTGAATTTGCTGCCAGCACATGAGCAACAGCTCTCAACAGGAGGATAGTAACATTGCAGCTCAGTTTGAAATGTTTGAGAGAAATAAATTATTTTCTGTGCGAATATCCCTGAGCCAAGAGAGGCAGCAGTCAAACGTGCCCATTTCTGTCAGGTTGCTATCGGTCTGTGGTCAAGACAGCTGCCTCTTGCTCACAGTTGGATGTGATGTCCTCTTTCAGACAGCATCATCCTTAAAACCACACAACAAAGCCAGACTAATGCCCACTGACCTCCACCAGCTTTTATCTCGTCACCTTTGACACTTTAGCTAAAATCCTGAAAAACAAGACACGTGTGGAGTGTCAGAGTAACCCTGAGGTTGTAACCTCTGTCAGTGTGAACTTTGACAGGAGATTTCAGTGCAAAGAGGAAACAGTGGTCTATTAGAAGACAGCCAACGCATCCATCAGGGACGCCAAAATGTGGTGGCAGAGAGAAATTTGCTGATTTTTAATTTGACGTGCAATCTGCTGTAAAATAAAATCTTAGGATTTAAAAAGTAAACATTTGTTATAATTATTCCATTCCACATGAGCTAAGAAAAAAAAAAGTTCCAAGATGTGATATCATTTGAACACCTGCTTATAAGATATGATTTTTTTTTAAATAAAATACAAGCATGCAGAAAAAAATGACCAACACAGACACACATCTAAAAAAATAAGACTTTAAAAAGCTCCACAATGTTGATTTAAGATTAAATCTAAATTCTTCTTTGGGATGAAGAGGCAAAAGAAACAAAAAACAGGCAATTTCCCTTTTGGCAGCACATCTGTGATAATTAGATTTTGTGCTTTTTAAACTGTCTGCAGAACAAGCAGGAACGGCTGAACAGTCATGACCAAAGCGTTTGGCAGTGACACAAATACTGTGCTTTGATAACTTCGTAGCTATCTTCAGGTATATTGTTTTTGTTGCGCTGTCAGTTTAAATTCAGCATAGTAGTCACATTGAATAGTCACATTATTGTAACCACAGGTGGATAAGAATGTCCATCCATCCATTTTCTTTACCCGCTTATTCCATTTTGGGTCACGGGGGTCGCTGGTGCCCATGTCCAGCAGTCACTGTGCGAAAGGCGGGGTACACCCTGGACAGGTCTCCAGTCCATCACAGGGACACATAGAGACAAACGAGACAAACAACCATTCACTCTCTCACTCACACCTAGGGACAATTTAGAGTTACCAATCAGCCTAACATGCATGTTTTTGGACTGTGGGAGGAAACCGGAGTACCCGGAGAAAACCCATGCATGCACGGAGAGAATATGCAAACTCCACCTAGAAAGGCCCCTGGACCGGGGTTTGAACCAGGGACCTGCTCGCTGAGAGGCAGCAGCTCTACCAGTTGCGCCACCGTGCTGCCCGGATAAGAATGTGAACTGCTAAAACAATTTTGTCTATCAAATTAGCAGAGTTATTGCTATAAAAGAGTGGCAAATGTGTTTGAAATCAGTGTCTTTTTATGTTAAGAGGCTGTCACGCAGTGACGTATAGCATCAGTGTACGCCATCATGTGAAAAAAAAGGCAAACAAGATGTAAGTTGCACAAGTTCGGTGTAAATTGTGAATAGGTTACCAGCAAACTGATTTACGATGGCATAATGTTTGTCGTATGGCGACGCCAGACAAAACTTTTGTACATGCACAAAATTTTAAGCGTATGTATACATGTTGCTAATAAGTTAAACATACGTTACAGGTTCACACACATTACATGTAAGTTACTCAGAAGTTGACATACATCGGACACCAGCTGGGTAATTTTGTAGCATATGAGTAACTTATTTCTAACCTATAAGAATATTATTTTGAAAATCTGTAACTCATGGCAGCACGGCGGCACAGTTTGTAAAGATGCTGCCTCTCAGCGAAGAGGTCGTCCCGGTTCAAATCCTGGTCCGGGGGCCTTTCTGGGTGGAGTTTGCACGTTCTCTTCATGTGTGGGTTTTCTCCAGGTACTTCCCACAGACCAGAAACATACATGTTAGACTGATTGGTAACTCTAAATTGTCCCTAGGTGTGAGTGAGTGAGTGAGTGAGTGAGTGAGTGAGTGAGTGAGTGAGTGAGTGAGTGAGTGAGTGAGTGAGTGAGTGAGTGAGTGAGTGAGTGAGTGAGTGAGTGAATGGTTGTTTGCCACTATGAGTCCCTGTGATGGACTGGAGACCTGTCCAGGGTGTACCCCGCCCCTCGCACAGTGACTGCTGGACATGGGCACCAGTGACCCCTGACACCCCAAAAATAAGAAACAGATAAAAGACAATGAATGGATGGATATCTAACTCGGAAGTGGGGGCGCAGAGGTTAGAGAGGTGGACCTGTGATCCGAAGATCGCCGGTTCACACCCCGGCCCCGACAACATCAAAATTGTGGGTGGGGTAGGTGAGGCACCCACACTTGCCCCCACCCTCATTCGCCCCACTCTGGGCCCATCAGCAAGGCCCTTAACACACCATCTGCTCCCTAAACAGGTCTCTCTTGAAAATGAGTTCTCGTGGCTCAATGAGACTACCTGAATAAATAAAAGCTAAATGAAAAAAAAAAAGAAAAAACTCATCCGAGACGTGTCAACATATTGTAATATCTGTACCTTAAAGGGTTAATGTTCTAGGTTCCAAAGGGGAGGGGGGCTAGGTGTGCAAGAGGTGTTTGTGTATGAAAGATGGTGGAGAGCCCCCAAAATTCTGTCATACGCTCGTATACGTTATAGGACATGCTATGGATAAGTTACTCATTACTTAATCATACATTATGTTTGTTCAACTTGTCAACAATACAGAATGTTTACGCCCTAAAGAAGCTTCCAGTTAATTATTTTTTCCATCTTCAGCAGATGCACCATGTTGGCCACAATTTTCATATGTCGGCATAAGCTGTATAAAATGTTATCTAGTGTGACAGAGCCCTTAGCAAGAATAATCTTCACCAAAAAAAAAAGTCTCACTGTCATTGCCCACATGAGTGTTGACATACCCCAGAAGAACAAGGGAGTCCCCAGGAGGTGCACTCTCCAGTACCCCCTCCATGGACTCCAAAAAGGGTGGGTAATC